ACTCTGGTGGACTTTTGTGGGAGGTTTCGGAACTTCGGGCATTACAGCTCTGCCTCAGAATTGTGTGAAGAGCCTTTAAACTATATTTGTCTAAGCCCTACATCAGCTCGATCGAGAGAGAATCTCCGGTGAGTAGGAATGTGAATCCATGTTTTGGCAAGCTCTTCAGGTGATTCTAACGTGGCCAGACTGGCAAGTAGTAGGAGAACTTGCTGTTGGGAACCACCCATCTATTTTGACTTCCATTCAGTGCCAAGAATCGTCCCAATAGCCATCCAGCTATTTCTAAAGAGATTCAAACAATGAAAGAATAAGATGCCCACGGTTTGACATGAGGGTGCAATCTTATATTCTCCTTACAAAATAAGTGCTCTTCAAGCCCTTCTATGAGTAGGTTCTCAGTAACTGAACTTTACTGTTACTTCTCCATAAAATTAAGGTTTTCTGAGATAACAGAATTTTGCCAGATCATTGCTTAACTCCAACCAATGTTGTGTTAATCACAAGTGTAACAGCGATTAGGAAGAAGAGTGAATACCCCTTTTGGGGCATCTGATTATGACTAGATAGTAGGTTTGTCCCTTGAAGTTTTGTCTAATATGAGAATAGGCTCTGTTAAAAGACATCAATAACATTTTGAGTATTTAAAATGCACATGAAAAATGAAACTATTTTGACAGATTTACTCAAATTGTATGCAAATGTAATGCATATTTAATGCAAATATACATGTGGTTCTCTTAACTATTTCCTATGCTTCACTGTGCCCCTCAGTAAAATGCTAATGGTTCATCTGTGCTTCCTTATTCTATTCAATTAATTGTTAATATAACTTTATTTTATATTTTATAATATACTTTATAAAGTGTATAAAATATACTTTATAAAGTGTATAAAAATATATACACTTTTCTTACCTTATGCTCATGCCCAATAAGTCACCAAGCACCAGTTGTCTTTCAAACTCACTCCCTTCTCCCTATTCCAAGACATCCTTCTTAGTTGACCACAGTAGGAAATAATGGGATAACTGTAAGAGCATCTCTCTGATTTCCCTGCCCTCACTCTTTGTTTTTTGTGGGTTTTTTGTTTTTTGTTTTTTTTTTTTTGTTTTTGTTTTTTAATGCTTATCTAGTCTTGAGAGAGTGAGGGAAAGCGAGTGGGGGAAGGGCAGAGAAGGTAGACAGAAGATCCGAAGCCAGCTCTGGCTGACAGTGGAAATTCCACATGGGGCTCAAACTCGAAAACCATGAGATCATGACCTGATCCGAAGTTGGAAGCTTAACCGACTGAGCCACCCTGGAGCCCCTTCCTGCCCTCAGTCTTAATCCATGTTCTGTTCTTCTGCCAGAGGATATCTCTAAAATTATGGCTGACTCATGTTCAGAATTCTTCAGTGACTTTCTAAATAATACCCTAAATCCTTTGCATCACATTTAAGCCTTCCATAATTATTTCCTAATTTGGCTTTTCTGTCACTTTTTAACCTGCATCCTGTTCTCAGGTCATAAGCAATAACCTGATCCCTTTAATGCACTAACAATCAAGCTTCTAATGATAATACTTCTAACTGTAATGGCTTCCCCTTTAGCCTTTTCCCTTCCTCTACTCTAATTGGTGAACTCCTATTCATTCGTCAGGAGTCAGCTCAAATGAACACTCTTCCCCAATATCAAGCCACATCACTTCCCAAGATTGAGATAGGTGCTCCTTCTATATGTTTCCAAAGAACTCTATGAACAACTCAGTATCATCTTTCTTTTGTTCCAATGAAGACAAAAAGGAAATCACATGTAACTCTAGTAATATGTATGTGTCTTTGTGCACATCCCTTTCTTTTCTTTTCTTTTCTTTTTTTTTTTTTCATTTCGCATGTCCTTTTCTTTCATAACAAACCCCAGCCAATTTCCACAACCATCCAGAATAATATGAGGGACTAGTTTAAGCCACACATGTACCCCAAATACTCCAGAATAATGGCTCTTGGTATCTCCCCTATTATCCTATAACTTCCACACTGTGGGGCAAGAAAGAATATAATTTGTTCATTTCTAATCTACTAAAATACATGTAATCATCCCTGAGGATCTTTACCATGGAGAGCCAGTGTTACTGATGGAATTATTTTCCATGTTTTAGGTGTGTTGAGAGCTGAGGCAGGGGCAGGATATAAAGTGAATATTTACTTTCTGTGTTACATATTGGACTATATAGTTCTTTACAGCTCCCCCGCCTCCCTGTTTTGCTAGAACCTAGCAGAAGGTCTGGCACATGCTAAGCATTCAGTGGATGCTGGATGGATGGATGGTTGGATGATTGGTTGGATGGATGGAGGGAGGGAGGGACGATTGGATGGATGAAAGTGAATGAAATATAAAATAGCTAGAGAATAGTTCCAAAGTCCAAGTATCAAGGAGTTTTTTGTGGTTGTTTGTTGCTGCTGTTTTTCCCCCTAGGCTGATGGAGTCAGAATACTGAGATAATTGACCATAAGGAAAGATCACTGTCGCATAAGATAATT